GCGTGGAGCTCCTGCAGCACGCCACGAGTTGTACAGCTTGACAGACGCTCGAAAGTGTTCATTGCCGAGCGGTCGTCCGCTTGAAACAGTCGACAGGCATTGATGAAAGAAGTTTTGCGTCAGCGGTTCAACGGGGAGTCGGAGATGACAAAGTCGGACGATGTGCGTGTTCGCAAGCACATACGCCTCTAAGACCATCTTGTTCATGTCTTTTAGCACCTCCTCCCACGGCAACATCTTGGATTGCTCGGTGCAGAACGACTTGAGCGAAATCTTGACAACACTTACGTCTTTGTCAGCGTTTGCTGCGCGTCGTGCAGCCACATCTTGGCGTCGTCGCTTTGTCTCTGTGGTCAGGTGTGAGAGCTCCAATGAGATGTCTTCGATTTTTCTCACTTGCGAGTTTGGTCCTGGGTCGTCTTCTGCGTCCAAGCGAGGACGCTTCGTCGCCATCGTGCAAATTGTCGAATGATATGCTAGCTCTCCTGCTTTGGCAACAAAGATGCAGTCTAAAACACTGAATTCAAGTATATTGTTATGCAGTCATCTATTGGCCGAAATAAGTATTCATTGCACTTGCAGTGTGTGAGTGATGCTCAGAGGTAATTGTAAAACTATTGCAAAGTAAAGCGCATACGTCTGCGAAGACGGTAGCGCAGGTGTGGAGCACTAGACCTTCAGGAGTATGGGTCAGAGATCATTTTGGTAATGGGTGGCGTAGCTGGCTGCTGTTGCGGTTAAATAAATCCGGTACTACTGTTGGTACTTATACAATGAATCATGATCCATGATCGCCCGTGCAGATGGTAACTATCCGTCGGGGACTCGCATCGATACATGCAGCAATGCGAGTGCTGGTCATGGGAAAGTCGTACGGGCACAAACCCATCGTGAGCTGTGCTGTAGAGGGCGAGTCAGTATTCAATTGGAGTGTCATCATGCGAATCAAGTTAGTACAGTATTTGAACAGTAACCTGTCCGCGAGATTCAATAAATAGTTGTTGCTGTACTGCAACAAGATTGTGCTCCGGGAATCCTATAGTAAACTAAATGTATCATAGTACGCATGTAACGTTATATTTTATAGGCGATAGCAATAACGAACCCACAGCATCGAATTTGTTTTCTTTTATGGTGGTGGCATGTACACCCGGTGATGAAGCGGGTATCGCAAACATTCATCAGTGCTTGTCGTTTCAGAAGATCTCAGCAAAGTGTATGCTTTGCACAATGGAAAATGAAGGCGACACACATTCGTGAATTCGATGTTGACTCTTTGCATTCCTTGGCGATATACATAAGAATTTGGAACAGTATTGTTAACTTGATTGAGCTTGAAGTGCAGACAGCAATCAGTGGGTAGAGAATGTTGGCCTCCGCTCAATACAAGCTATCTGAGTGCAAGCTCTACGTTCAATGGTCCCTCGTCAGAGTTCCAACGCAACAGCCTCATCCGATTCTTCCGAGTCCTCTCCATCCTGCAAAGGGCACGGCAAAAAGCGCCTCGAGATCTCTCGCCACGTCGGAATCCCGATGATTCGTCTACCAGCCACGAGGTCTTCCATGATAGAGAAGCAGCGAGTGTGACCCTTAACACCGAAATTGGCTCGGAAAAGGTCAGAATAGTCGTCAATGGGGCCAATGCACTCGCCGTGGTGAGCACACGCGATCATCTCCATTTGCTCATTTGCCGCCTTTTCATTGTAGCCGAGGATTTGTGCAGTCTCGAACAGGGCAATGTTGCATAGTTTCACCGAGTCATCGTCCTCCGTTCCATCGGAAATCGTCGGAAGTAGCGGATTTTTCGTTTTCTTCGCTGTAGCTGCTAGTTTTTCATCCCCAAGAAGCGATACTGCAGTCAAGGTATTGGCATCGTTGCAGTTCTCGTACTATTTCTTACTAAATAATTTCATAAAAACCTGCGTAAAAACTAGTAACGAACGCTCCAAGAACTGCATTTCCTACACTTGAACCGACGGCGTCTCTCGGTTTGGACGGACTCTTTAGAATCGTTTCCTACTGCATCGATGCCAACGTCAGGCATCGTCGGGCGTCCATCGACGCCTTGTGGTCTTCGCGGTGATCGAACGGCTTCGGCGTTGCAAGTGGCACCGTCGGTTGTCGAGTTTTCAGCTTTCGAGCGAGGATCCTGCTACGTCGCGACTTTCAGTGTCCGGAATGCCAGTGACCGAGTGTTGCGCTTCCGGTTGACTCCACCGCCACACGCTTCGCCATTCAAAGTGTTGCTACGAGGTCGAGACCTTGCGAGGACTGAGAACGCCACAGTCTCTTTACCACCGGGTCTTAGTAACAAGTACGAGGTTACTTTCGAAGTAGAAGGTGACGAAGAATCCGAGCCTGAAGTAGCCACCCCAGCTATCGTTCATGATGCCCTGCAGTTAAAGGGCGACGATGGTTCTTCTCTAGAAGTTCCGTTGATGGCCAGACGTGCATGCCCATTACTAGAAGTGGCGCCGCCGTTGTGTGAACTTGGTCTCGTGGTGCTGACTCAACGTTCGGCTCGTTGTGTTGAAGTGCAGAACTGCGGTGCACGACCAGGAAGATTTGTAGTTGAGGTGCTGGATGCGAGCGATAACTCAAGAGCTGCGATCACGGTATCGCCACAACGAGGGAAGCTTACCCCGCTAGAATCTGTGAATGTTAAAGTGGAAGTTCATGGACTGGAGACTGGAGACTTTCGAGGAATTGTTCGTGTTCGGATCTGGGAATTTCTAGATTATGAAGACAACGAGCATGTGAATACGAGTACACCACCGTCTGCTGAGAAGATTGTGGATGTTTCCGGTAGTGTGGTAGAACACACGGCAGAGCTGGTGTTACGTCAAGGACTGGAGCCTGTGCACTCGTTATTCTTTGGTTCATTATTTGCTGGTGAGACGCGTACGATCGAGACTTTGTTGAGGAATAATGGACCTCAACCTTTGTCGTTCAAGACTTCTATTAGTTTTGGAGGTGTAGCAGGAGCGGTAGAAGAAGATCGAGAAGCCTATGAACGACGTAAAGAACTCCGGATTTCTCCTGCTGATGGCTGTATCGATCCATTCAGGGAAGCACTCGTGGCTTTTATTTACCATCCACGAGCCAAAACACTCGAAGAAATCCAAAGAATCGAACGCAAACAAGGGGCTACAAACCCAGAAGATCGAGACTGTGCTGGGTCTTCAGACACTCTCGACTCCAGTTCTCCCTTCACGCTCTTACCAGCTCCAGCGCAACCTTTAACCGCTTTCGCATCTATCATCTGCGAGGACCTACAAGCCCAAAATTTGACGTTCGAAGTCTCAGCCAAGATGTTCATCCCACGATTGCAGCTCTCACCTACGCCTCTGGATTTTGGCGACGTTCGCTCGTATGATCGAGCAGATATTCTACTATCACTCAAGAATCTATCAGGTCTTCCAGTACGTTTCGAAGTGCCTAAAGGAGTGGCTCATTACTCCGTAAACCCACGCACTGGTCGCTTGGACGTCCTGCAGTCTCAGAGTCTCGTGGTCAGCTTCGCACCCACACAACTCGGCACTTTTAATAGTATTCTGACAATAAAGATCAACGATGG